AAAAATCAATAAAATTCATTTTTTTTTTTTTTAAGTACTAAGGACTTTCTAGATACTGGTGACTACTGAACAGTGGGGTGTCATGGGTGATTTTTTATTTTTATTTAAAGAGGGATGATGTTGATGAGATATATATTTTGGAGAATTAAGTCTGTTTCAGTATCCAAGCACAGAAGATGAAGGTCTTAACTAAGGGAGCAACAATATAATTGAGAGGAATATTTGACTTTGAATTCTGATAGAACGATTCTGAGTATTCCAGGGATAATATAGGGAAGAAGAGAAATCAAAATAACCTCTAGTTATCTCATTTGGTTTATTGGATGATGGTAATGTCTTTTGTTTTTTCACTTTTTTGTTGTTGTTGATTTGCTGTTTTAATTTTATTAAATATACTAGAGCCACAGAGCATGAAATTTGTGCATGGGTAAGGCCCCTAGGCCTGCCAGGCAATCAGAGCCGATCAGGTTCCCCACCTTTCTGCCTCAACTTCTCCTTGCTTCCTCCTTCCCCCCTTTGCTCCCTCAGCACCCCACTGCAGGTCGCCCACCATGCTTCATGCCACCCCCTAGTGGTCAGCACAAGTCATATTGAGTGATTGAACTCCCTGTCTCCTGGTTGAATTCCTGAGAGGACAATTTGCATATTAACCTTTTATTATATACAGTAGTAGAGGCTCAATGCATGGGAATTCATTCAAGAGTAGGCATTTCTTCCCCCAGCTGCAGGCACTGGCTTCCATCTGGCATCTGGGACCCAGGCTTCTCTCTGGCTACCACCAGAAGGTGCCCTGAAACTAGGTGCTTTGCTCTGGCAGCTGCTGACAGGCGCCTTGATCCATGTTGCTTCACTCCAGCCCAGCTTTGTCCAGAATGATGCCCGGCAGGATTTGGGTCTAATGAGCATGCTACCTTTATTATTATAGATAGGATAGGATTATGTAGGCTTATTTGATTGCATTATTGGCCATGAGATTGAACTCAGTCTCCAGCTCCCTCCCATTTTTCATAGGACATCAAGTTTATATTATATAGTTAAAAAACCCAACCCTTTAATCACATAGTTGCTCTTTCTGGTTTGGCCAGCCATACTAATGAGTTGTCATGAATATTACATAACTATGATGTTGAGGGCTGATGAATAATGAAGACACTCTTGGAGTTTTAGATCCCTTCAGAAACCAGGGACAGAGTACAATCACAATCTTTATTTTACAACATACTCCAAACTCAATTAGCTTTATGTTCTGGCATCCATCTCCACATTTCCAGATTCTATGACTATTCTACCATTATCTTGATAGTCAATTGTAGATAAATTTTATAACTTCCTTTCCGTCTTCATCTTCCTTTCCTGCTCCCCAAACAGATATCAGCTTCTTTGCCAGCCTCAATACCACATTTGGTTAAATAAGTGATCAGTTCCTGCATTGATAGGATGATATATAAATCTTATTTCTTTTGCTTCTTTTGGAAGGTTTCAAGAGCTTGTTTTTGGATTGATCCTTTCATGGCACCTGAATATTAAACTGGGATCAAAGTTTGTAATACTCTTAAAGTTTTGTTTTTCTATTACCTGTTATATTAGTTTGCTGGGACTGCCATAACAAAGTCCAATAGACTGGTGGCTGAAATGAGAAAAAATACTTTCTCATGATTCTAGAGGCTGAAAGTCCAACATCAAGGTGTCAGTAGTGTTGATTTCATTAAAAAATTTCTTTTAAATAGATTTTTAGAGAGGAAAGGAGAGAGAAAGAGAAAGAAACATCAATGTGAGAACACAACATCAATCCGCTGCTTCTTGGACACTCACTAGTGTGGAATGAGCCTGCAACCCTGGGCATGTACCCTGACCAGGTATCAAACCAGCAATCTTTTCATGCCTGGGACAAAACTCAACCAACTGAACCACAAGGCAGGGTTGGTTTCTTTTAAGGCTTTTCTCCATGGCTTTTAAGTGGGTGTTTTTCCTTGTGTCCTCACATGGTCTTCTCACATGTGTATCTGTGACCTAATTTTTTCTTATTAGGACACCAGGCATATAGAATTAGGTCCCTAATATGACCTGATTTTTAAAAAATGTATTTTATTGATTTTTCACAGAGGAAGAGAGAGGGACAGAGAGTTAGAAACATCAATGAGAGAGAAACATCGATCAGCTGCCTCTTGCACACCTTCTACTAGGGATGTGCCTGCAAACCAAGGTATATGCTCTTGACCAGAATCGAACCTGGACCTTTCAGTCCGCAGGCTGACGCTTTATCCACTGAGCCAAACCGATTTCGGCAATATGACCTAATTTTACCTTATTTCTTTAAAGGTATAATCTTTAATACTGTCACATTCTGAAGTACCAGGAGTTAGGACTGCAACATGATTTTTTGGAGAGGGACACAGTTCAGCTTGTCTTATCTGTTTCCTGTCTTAATCTGTTCCTCTGGACCTTTTCCATTTATCTGACTTCCATCTCTCTTTCACATATTTTTCTGACCATATCATAGTCTTTGGTTGTCCTTGTATATTTTCGAGTTAGGATGTGAACAGCTGATTGGTTTAGTTTTCGTATGGACAGAATTTGTAAGAGGCTTTTCAAAAATGTATATTTTTATTGATTTCAGAAAGGAAGGGAGAGGGAGGGAGGGGGGGGAGGGAGGGAGGGAGGGCGGGAGAGAGAGAGAGAGAGAGAGAGAGAGAGAGAGAGAGAGAGAGAGAGAAACATCTGTGATGAAATCATCGATTCTCCTGGACACCACCCACTGGGGATCAAGTCCACAATCCTAGTATGTGCCCCTGATTGGAATTGAATCTGGGACCCTTCAGTTCACAGGCTAATGCTCTATCCACTGAGCCAAACCAGCTAGGGCTGTAAGAAGCTTTTCTATCTGGTGATATAACTGCAAGTAGACTTTCCCTTTTTGGCGTGGAGCCTTACATGACAGGATCTCTGTTTTTTTCCTAAGTCTCTTCAATTTCTCTAGAGAATAATATTCTAGTTATCAGGACAGGGTGATATTGGTAGTGTAAGGGGTTTACGCACCTTGCGGACAGTGGTATAAGTTCAGAGTTAGGTAGAGGTCTGAGGAGTTCCACAGTTTGCTGTGCAGGTTGTCCCTTAATTACCCCTATTTTGCCTTGGCTCCCTGGTAGCCTCTTTTTTTGTTTTTTGTTTTTTGTTTGTTTTTGTTTTGTTTCTTCAGAAACTAAAATTCTAATTCCCACCTGATTGCAGGATGTAGACAAGGGTTAGGGTGTTTATATTCTCATATATGTAGATGTAGCTAATTAGAAAGTTCCTTCTATTTTGTTCTTTTGGGGCATCTGAAGCCTTGAACATTTAATTCCTTCAGGATTCATTAGTGAGGTTTTATTATTTACTAGAAGCCTGGTGCACAGATTCTTGCACCTTGGCCTGGCCTGTGCTGTTGCAATATGAGACCCGTCGGGGGATGTTGGAGAGTTGGTTTTGGCCTGATCCCTGCAAACTAGGCTGAGTGACACCAATGATGCATTAATCCATGCACTGGGTCAGTTTCAGTCCAATCTTCCCAGGCAAGGCCAAGGGACCCCTCTGGTACGGGCCTCTAGTATGCATATAAGATCTTTGGTTAATCTCTTCTCGCCCTTCCCCCTTCTCTTCCCTCTGAGATTCATTAGTCTGTTCCGTGTTTCCCTGCCTGTCATTTCTGCTCCTGCATTGAGCACCTGCCCCCTGGTGGTCAATGTGCTTTATAGCTATCGGCCAGTATGCCAGTTTCTTAGGCTTTTTTATATCTATACTTATAATAGGGTAATATGCAAATTGGTTGGGATGCCGTCATGTAATGACTGATCAGGACGGCGGGACAGTGAACAAGTGATGGAGAGCTACAGAGGGGCAGGGCAGCGAACAATGTGCTGCAGAGAGCTACGAGCGGCAGTGGGCAGGGTAGCCAGCTGAGGCAAGCGGCAGGGAGCTACTTGCGCACGGATTCCTGCACAGGGCCACTAGTATATACACTGAGTGGCCAGATTATTATGATCTCTGAATGCATAATAATCTGGCTACTCAGTGTGTATCCTATATAATAAAAGGCTAATGTAAAATTGTTCCCTGGACCAGAAGTTCCACCAGCAGGCAGGCTGGCCAACTGCCCATGTCCCCTCCCAATGGCCAGGCTGGCCGGACCCCACACATGCACAAGTTCATGTACCAGGCCTCTAATGTATACATATATCTATATACACTGAGTGGCCAGATTATTACGCGTTCAGAGATCATAATAATCTGGCCACTCAGTCTGTGTGTGTGTGTATATATCCTATTTAATAAAAGAGTAATATGCAAATTGACCATCACTCCAACACACAAGATGGCTGCCCCATATGCTCAAAGATTGCTGCCCCTATGTGGACACAAGATAGTCACCACAAGATGGCCAGCAGGGGAAGGCAGTTGGGAGGGACCAGGCCTGCAAAGGAGGGCAGTTGGGGGCAATCAAGCCTGCAGGGGAGGGCAGTTAGGTGTGACCAGGCCAGCAGAGGAGAGAAGTTAGGGTGACCTCTATAACTAGATCTCCAGATTGCTCAACAAATCACAATGTCTCGTTCAAGACAACCAAGTTAGTACAAGACTAATGACTTGACAATTGGCTGCTAAAATATTCACTGCTAGTACTAGTGGAGAGAAATGGTGCGCCTGCATGCAAGACATGAAAGGGAAATGAATGCAGCACAATTATAGTAATCAGTCATTAGTGAATGTTGTAGTTCGTTATTAATAATTATGTGTAACAGGATATTATAAAAATTAAGTTATAAAATTTTTATTAAAACATTAATTACATACCATTATTGAGTGGGCCACAAAAATATTTGTTGTGGGCTACGTGTTTGAAATGCTTGATTGAGAGTGTTCTTAGTAAACAGACAAAAGTTTAGAACTACTACTTAAGAATACTTTTTCTCTTTTGGTACCTAATGTATATCTAAGTTGGCCTTAATTCTTTTTTTATTTTTCAACAGATTACCTCTGTAACTAGATCTCCAGTTTGCTCAACAAATCACAATGTCTCGTTCAAGACAACCTCCACTTGTGACAGGCATCTCTCCAAATGAAGGAATACCTTGGACCAAGGTCACAATTAGAGGAGAAAACTTGGGAACTGGCCCAACTGACCTCATAGGTAAGGTCAAGGACTATGCTGTGTATCCATTGTAAATGCATTTTTATATTAAGACAGTTGAGTCAAGATATATTATTTTGAAATAGTGAAGATGATGGAAAAACATTATTGTTGTCTATGCAAAATGGTCTGAATAAAAATAAGGATATTATTTGATTTTCCTGTTAAAAATCATCATTTTATCAAATCTTATCTATATTGACTTGCACCAAATTCCTTTAGAAAGTTTCCCATAGTGGAAATTTGTCTCTATTTCCTCAGTTTTGCTCTCTCCTGCTTAGATTGCCAAAGGTCTCCTTTTTTTCTCTTTAATTTTTCTTTCATGATACAACACTTAGTATTCTTTCTCAAGGGCTCTGGGAATTATGCCTCTTCTGTTCCTTCTTGCTTTTTAAATTAAACCTAAACTCTATCTCCTGGTGATGTCAGTACCACTTGGCTCTTACTCCACCTAAAAGAGACTATCCCAAGTGGAGGAGAATTATTTGTTTCCTTTTCTCTACCATATAGCTGCTTCCTCATGTTGGAGAGCACCACCACTGTTCTGAAATACAATCTCTGTCTGCCAAGCCTGGACTCTTACAACCAAAAATCTTCATACTAATTCTCACCCATGTTAATCTATCTTTTTTTTTTAATTTAGGATCCCCTAATATTTACATATTTAGAGCAAGCTAGGTTTTAGTTTTTAGGTTCATTTTATGTTCTTTTAATCTTTTAAGCTGAAGGACATGAATGATAGATTATTATGCATCCAGTTGACAAGAATAAATATTATTAGACTAGAGGCCTGATGCATGAAATCCATTCATGGGTAGGGTCCCTAGGCTTGGCTGGTGATCAGAGCTAGTCAGGGCCTTCTGGCTGCCAGCTGGGGCCTTTCTTCCAATTGCCGGCCAGAGCCTCCATTCCCTGACTGCTGGCTGCTGGCCAGGGCCTCCCTTTCCCACCTGCTGGCTGGGGCCATCCTTCATTCAGTGCCATCTCCTGGTGATCAATGCACATCATAGCGAGTGCTCGAACTCCTGGACAGTCGAACTCCCAAGGAAACACTTTGCATATTAGGCTTTTATATACATAGATTTGTTGCCTACGATAGGAAACTCCTATTAACAGTTAACAAAATACAATAGTTCTACAATAATAATTACAATGATGATGTTGAAAAATTGCAAGGGCCTGTTTTGTGACAACCAGAGTTGTAAACATTGTATAAGTGACAACTCATTTTAGTGGCTAGTATTACTGAACACTGGGCACTTGGCTTCTTTTCCCTAATCTACCAGAACCTGGTGACACTAATGGGAGATAGAGCATGCCTATAAAGAAATAATTTACTTTGATGATAGTGGATAAAGGTTCTGAATCATGAGCTACCCTCATCAAAGAATGGTAATTGTAACCCAACAAAAAAAGGTACCTTTATTTACCTATTATCTTTTGCCACCTTATTGTGCAATGATGAAGAGTTTTGTTTTCACTTTACTTAGATGAAGTTGAAAGATCAGACAGCCATCTTAGTTTCCCCTCACCACCCACCCTCACTCTTACCCTCAACCCCAGCCTCTCATATAGTAATTAACATAGGACAAACGGGTTTTTCAGATTTAAGTCTTTCTTTCTTTTTTTTTTTTTTTTTTTTTGCTTGTAAGATGGTTGCTTTTTCTCTTCCCTTCCTAATGTTGCCATTTTTTCAACACATTCCCCAAGCCTTCTTCTCTTATACTCAGATCTTATACTAGAGCAGAATTAAAGCTGCCTAAGGCCACACCACATGACCAGTAAAAGGTGGCGGCTTAAGAAAGGGGTTACCATAAATCAGCTGCCAAGAGTGGGGAGGCTAGTTCTGTTGCCTTCCCCTCCGCTGGGAGCACTCACCACCCCAAGCCTTGGAAAGCTATATTTCCAAAACTATATTCCATTCCACCACAACAAAGCTTTCTCAGGGCACACAACATAAACACTCTCTTCCCCAGTCCCTAGACAAACAGCACTACCAGGCTGGAGGCTTCTCCTGCAACCCCGGGCCAGGATGCCTCAGACCCCCTGTTCTCCTCCGGGCACCTGAGGTTTAGAAGTGGTGGAGTCAGAACCCAGGGCAATTTTCAAAAGCCCAGGAGAGTCCAGACTGCTGGTAAGCTGAACCTCACCCACTCACAACCCAAGCCCTGTAATACCACAGCCAGGCTGGCTACTTGAAGGGGTTGCAAGTTTCAATGTTCCCTGCAAGAGTCAGTGTTCTCTGCATCCTGGCAGCTGGGAGTGAAAGACAGCCCCCAGCCCTTTGGCAACCCTGTCCCTCCTGAATTAGATATACATACCCTGAGATTTCTGTTTACTCCAGAGAGAGAGAGAAATGGAGGATGCAGTGGGGACCAATGAGGGAGTAGGGTGTGGCGATTCATGAAGGGAAAGGGTAAGGGCTGGTTAGAGTCACATCTCTGCCCAGGACAGGGACTGGTTAAGGGGCAGTGGGCCTGCCTGTCATTTTGTTGTCAGCATCCAGGTCACTGGCACGCTTGCTGCATGCAAACACATCCCTTGAAATCATCACAACCGGCTAAGAGGCCTCTAACAGCCCCTTAATAATTAAGCTCCAACCCCTTGACAGAAGGAAGAAACTTATATACAGGCACTCTAGCACCAGGTGCTATGGTTTGCCTCTGAGGACCATTTTAAAAGCCATAATAATGATGATCATTAAATAAAATAATTTAAAAATATATATATTTTTATTGATTTTTTACAGAGAGGAAGAGAGAGGGATAGAGAGTTAGGAACATTGATGAGAAAGAAACATCGATCAGCCGCCTCTTGCACACCCCCCACCAGGGATGTGTCTGCAACCAAAGTACATGCCCTTCACCGGAATCGAACCTGGGATCTTTCAGTTCGCAGGCCTACGCTCTATCCACTGAGCCAAACCGATCTCGGCTAAATAAAATAATTAATAGTATATTGTTTTCTTCCAAATCTTTGGGAAAATGAAATTCAGGTTTTTGACCCATCCTGCAACATTTATAGTTGCCTGTGGCGAAGCCCAGAGTGTGTGGGGGAGTCTGGAGAGATTGGTATTCAAGGTGCAGAGGCACACTGTGAGGAGGGGTAGTCTTGGGATCCCCATCCGCATTCCATTTGCAGGGCTGTTGGCACCTGTCTGCCTGCCACCCTTACCTGTGGATGCAGTTTCCATGACAATGGGTGGCGGCTAGGCAGAGTTCAAGCCCAGTTTCTAGGGCACCATTTCCTGGGCCCTTGCACCCAGTCTCTGGCTGGACTCTCCCACCTGCGGTGCCGGCCTCATCCCCCCAGTCTTGCCTCTTTCAGCATGATCACTTAGTTCTCCCCTTCTTCCTGGTCCCCAAATCACTGGGACCTGGGGCCAGCTCTTCCTGGGGATCAGGCGGGCGGGCAGCACGGCCATGCCTGGTGGTCTCTGGGTGCGGTGAAAGTGGATGATGGGATGGAGGTGTGGTGGCTGGGCAGGCTGATGCTCCCTGCTGCTGCCTTCCCCTTCTCCTGGACTCAGGGCTTGGTGGCTGTGGAGTACTCACCTCCACCTGAGCCACAACTCCTGATGAACTGCTGCCTGCCCTGATCCCCACTTCAGCTCCTTCTCCTGTTGTGGGCCAATGGGAGGGGTGGGGGGAAGTGCAAGTGTAGGCTTGTTGGCGCTTCATAGCCACCGGTAGTCCTAGTGATTGCTGGGCTTTTATATATATAGATGTTGGTTAGCATAGTGTGTTTCTCCCTGTCTGTGAAGTGGAGACCTTGTACTCTGGCTTACTTAAGCATTGGTGTTTGTCAGTGGTTCTCACTCATACCTTTTCTTAATGTCTTCTAGAACTTAAAAAAATTTATCTTGCCCACTAAGTCTCAGTGTCAAAAGAGCCTAATTATGGTTTTCTGTTTTTTAAATACAAATGAGTGTGAGATACAGCCAGGGAAGAGAGCAAATTAGAAATATGTTTGTATGGTCAGTTAAGCTTATTTTCCTGTGAACTCTGTGAGGGTATACGAATCCATTGAGAATGAGGAAAGGAGAGGCTGTAGTATATGCTACTGAATATAAATTCTGGTTTCCCAAATACATTTATATGGATTCAGACATTCTCTTGATTTATTTATTAATTTGATAAAGTACTAGAGATTATGAGTTGGAACTTGTTTTTCTTGCATTATAGCTTCTGATCTATAGATTGTTTTTGGCCATCCAGAAACTCCCTTTGAAAAGAGAAAGTGAACTGAAGCTCCACACTATGATTAATAACTAAATTTTGCACATCCCAGATAATTCTTTTTGCTAGTGTTATTTAAATGTAACACTTTATACTGTTTCTCTAGTTATAATTGTTGATTCTTCAGTAAATAAATCACATTTATTCTTATGAAGATAGTCTTATCTAATCCTATGTCTTGGTTTTTTATATAGCTCATTCTAGAATTTTCTTTACCCACAGGGGAAAAATCCCCAGAAAGTATGAAAAGAGGCCATAGGTTACATCCCACATTTTAGTAGGCAGTCATTGTGAACTCCTGAAAATGATGGTTACTAGTCTATGTAATTTTTAATCTTGCTTTAGTTTTTGATAATGCTATTCTTATTTGACTAAATGTGTATTACTTTTATAAAACTTGTTAATTCAGCTTTCAACCTGCATATGAATTGCCAAGAAACCATTTTTTAAAAAAGCAAACTTAACCTACTAAATTATTTGTGTTTTTAACTCAGATGATAGCTACACTAGCCAAGTAAAAACACTATAAAAACACTTTATTTGGAATTCTACAAGTTACTTTAAAAAAAGATGTTATTATATTTCATGAAACAGGTTTCTTAGCTTTCAGTAACTTAGCAAAAGTGCTTACAAAATTAAGAATTGGTCTTATGATCCTATTTAATTTTCATGACATTTTAAATGATCCATTTGAATCTATGTTTAAAACTATTTTATTATTAATTTTATTTTAGTTAAAATGAAGAATATATATTAAATCACAGGAACACTGGTAGCAGCTATGACAACATAAATCTACTATTTTTTTGGGGAATAGTTTTTCACTTGTACCATTATGAATATTTATTCATGTTTGCTCATCTGAACATGTTTTCCAGACTTCATGTCTCTGTGGATGATAGTTGTTCCCATTCCTTAGTTTTAATCATAAGGTAGTTCTCTAGCAGGTAACTTATATTAGGAATCACTTTACATTAAGCCCTGACATTTGTTGTTCAGTTTTTCTGCTTTCTGAAGTTAGTATTTAAAATCACAAGAACATTTTTAAAATAATAAAATTAAAAAAATATTAACTTACATATTGCCCAGAGTGATATCAAAATGTCTGTTATCTAAAATTAAACATTTTGTAATTTTAAGCACTTTCCATTCATTTAAAAAATAAACAGACTGATTTATGTATGCTTAAAAATTATTTGAGCAAATATTCATTGAAGTATTTCACAGTGCTTATCTTGGGGATGGGAAGGAGTTCCAGAGATGCTTTCAATCTTTGTTTTAAAAATATGTTTTGATTGATTTCAGAGAGAGGAAGGGAAAGTAAGAGAGAGTTAGAAACATCAATGATGAGAGAGAATCATTGATCAGCTGCCTCCTGCCTCTACTAGGGATCAAACCTGCAATTTGGGCATGTGCCTTGACCATGAATTGAATTGTGACTTCCTTGTTCATGGATCAATCAGTGCTCAACCACTGAGCCACACCATCTAGTCTCAGTTTTTTTAAATTATTTAATTTTTTTTGTAACAAAAATTAACAGGAAAGATATCTAATACATTCCCATTTTGGAAAAAAATAATTTTGAATTCTGAATGCATTTAACAATGTATAAATGTCATTACATATTTTAAAAACCAACAGAAACCTTAATCCTTTAAGTGCTTTATTAGTAAGACAAAATTTCATACATGAATAAATAATAAATGTTTTAGGGGAATCTCTAAAATTCATTATTTCAATGGATGTCTTAAAAATGTAGTTGTTTTTTATTCCTTTATTATTAATATAACATTCTTACTAAATAGTGCTTTAAGATGTAACAGATCATGAATACCCCCCTTAGGCATATGTTTCTGGGGGGAAAAAAGTTAGCATTTATCAAACTTGACTGCTGAACAATATACACTCTATCTAATAAGAAAAGAAAATGTGAAGTGTCAGGGTCTATGCCACATATTGGTTTATTTTTTTTCATAAATATTTATTATACTAGAGGCCTGGTGACTGAAATTTGTGCATGGATAGGTCCCTAGATCTGGTTGGCGATCAGGGCCGATTGGGGCCTTCTGGCTGTCGACTGGGCCTGCCTTCATTCTGCGCCACCCCTGGTGGTCAGCATACGTCATGGTGAACAATTGACCTCCCAGTTACTTAGTCAAACTCCTGAGAGGACACTTTGCATATTAGCCTTTTATATATATTGTATATTAGAGGCCTGGTGCATGAAATTTGTGCTGGGGCGGGGGTTGTCCCTCAGCCTAGCTTGCACCCTCTCCAATCTGGGACCCTTTGAGGGATATCCGACTGTCCATTTAGGGCACAATCCAGGACTGCTGGCTCCAGGTGCTCACCTGCCTGCCTTCCTGATTGCCCCTAACCATTTCTGCCTTCCAGCCAGATCACCCCCTAACCACTGCCCTGCCAGTCTGATTGATGTCTAATTGCTCCCCTGCATAGAGTGCATGGGCAGGAGTAACTGGTTTGCCCTGAAGGGTCCCAGATTAGTGTTGGGGTTTCCTTGGGGCGTAGAGTGGCCTAGGTGAGGAGCCTGTGGTGATTTGCATGCCAGCCACGCCCCCCAGTGACCTAAGAGAAGGCCCTGGTATCTGGGATATATTTATCTTCTACAGTTGAAACTTTGTAGCCTGGAGTGAAGGCAAGTCTTCTGCTCACTCTGTGGTGGCAGCCATTTCTGTTGGAGTTTACTCACCTTCTATAATTGAAACTTTGTAGCCTGGAGTGGAGGCCTAGACCGGCCAGGGCAGGTGAAAAGCTTGGCTTCCCCCATTGCCAGGGAAACCCAAGCCTCCCTCCTGCTCTCTGTGGTGGCAGCCATCTTTGTTGGGGTAATTTGCATATTTGCACTGATTGGCTGGTGGGCGTGGCTTTGGCTGTAGTGGAGTGATGGTGAATTTGCATATCACTCTTTTATTAGGTAGGATAGAATTGGACTTTGTTTTGTGGAAATGGAAAATAGAGAGGAAATCAGTTAGTAGACTAGCTGGTAGTGTGTACACATGGTGGTATTTTGGTATTCTGCCCAGGGCCATTTCTTCCTCACTAAAGTCTTTCAGTGCCTACCTGTTTGGTTATTGCCTAAATTTACATGGAATCTGGGTCTGAGATGGCAGGCATGAGTTGACCTTTTTGGCGTGCCAGAAAGCAGAATGTAATGTGTTGATAGTATCATTAGGAAAACACTAAAGCAGTGTGAATTGTTGCTAAAGGAATAATAATGAAATAAAAAAATAAAATAGTAAACCTGTAATAGAGAACATTTACAGGATTTACCAGACTTCAGGCTGTGCTTGCAATAAATTATCTACTTTAGTTCATTCTGTTACCCATGTATGATTGAACACTAGCAAAAGTATATGCATATCACTTTCAGGGAGAAGTATAAATATATTTTTAGGGAATGATATATACATCTATTTATCCTTTACAATTTTATCTCAATAACTTAGACTGCTAATAATAGCAATGATTTTCTAATATAAATGAAAGTAATTTAAGATTCTCATAGTCTAAGTAATCTAGAACAGCAGTTGCCAACTGGTGGTCCACAGATTACTGGTTGTCCCTGAGGTCTGAAAAATGGGTGACTGCTGGCTTAAGGAAACCTTTGCAACAGTGGTTGCCAACTAGTAATCTGACAGGTTGGCGACCGCTGATCTAGAATACCTTCTCATCATTATTATGGGCATTATATAACCTAATTCCATTGATGTTTGAAGAAACTTAAATATATTCTAAAAGAAGTCTTAAATATAGTATTAGTGTAAAAAGTTTAGACAAAAATCAAGAGAGACTGGTATACTTGCAAAAATATTGGCTATCCTATCTAATAACATAGTAGCATGCAAATTTAACTTACCTCCACCACACACACAAGCCACACCCATGAGCCAAACAGGAGTGAATATGCAAATAAACCCAACCAAGATGGCTGTGGCCATGGAGAGCAAGAGGGAGGCTTGGGTTTCCCCAGCAATGGAGGAAGACAAGCTTACTGCCTGCCCTTGCCAGCTCTGGCCTCCACTCAATGTTACAAAGTTTCAATGATAGAAGATAAATAAATGGCCGTGGCCTGGCCATGGAGCGAGCAGATGATTTGGGATCACTCAAGGCTACAAAGTTTGAATTATAGAAGATAAATAAATCCCAGATACCAGAGCCTATGCTGGGTTACCGGGGGGAGTGTGCAGCCTGCAAACCACCACAAGTTCCTCGCCCAGGCCATCCCATACCCCAAGGGAACCCCCATCCTGATCCATGACACCCCAAGGCAAACCAGGTGGCCCCCACCCATGCACGAGGCCTCTATTCTATCCCATCTAATAAAAGAGTAATATGCAAATTGACCGTAACTTCCACACACAAGATGGCTGCCCCCATGTGGGCACAAGATGGCCACCACAAGATGGTCAGCAGGGGAGAGCAGTTTGGAGGGACCAGGTCTGCAAGGGAGGGCAGTTGTGGGTGGTCAGGTCAGCAAGGGAGGGCAGTTAGTAGTGACCAGGCTGGCAGAGGAGGGAAGTTGGGGGCAACAGGACCTGCAGGGAAGGGCAGTTGGAGGGACTGAAGCCTGCAGGAGAGAGCAGTTGAGGGGGGAACAGTCCTACAGGGGAGGGCAGTTAGGGGTTACCAGGCCTGCAGGGGTGGGCAGTTAGGGGCAATCAGGCTGGCAGGGGAATGGTTAGGCTGGTAGGCAGAAGTGGTTAGGGCCAATCAGGAAGGCAGGCAGAAGTGGTTAGGGCCAATCAGGAAGGCAGGCAGGTGAGCAGTTGGGAGCCAGCAGTCCTGGATTGTGAAAGGGATGTCTGACTGCCTGTTTAGTCTCAAATCTACTGGGATCTGGCCTAAATGGGCAGTCGGACATCCCTCAAAGGGTCTCAGATTGCAGAGGGTGCAGGCTGGGCTGAGGGACACTGCTGTCCCCCATGCAGGAATTTCATGTACCAGGCCTTTATTCTATATATATAAAAGCCCAGCTACCTAAATGGCAGAATAACCAGAATGATTGAAAAGAATTGTGGCTGTGACCCACACTGTAGCAGCCAACTGGCCTGAGCCGGGCCCCAATCGGGCCCTCCTCCTGGCCGGCCCTATCCTCTGTTTGGCCCCCAAAACCCCGATTGGGGGTGGGGCTGGCTGGCCAACCTCCCATGTCCCTTCACCCCTCTGTTGGCTTGGAATAATGGGCCTCTCTTGGGGCAGGCCGGCATACCCCACCTGTGCATGAATTCGTGCACTGGGCCTCTAGTTTTCAATAATAGAAATAAAGGTACAAAGAAATATTATTTCTAGATTTATTTCTCAGTTCTTCAAAAGGCCTGGTATTACTAAGTGAAGAAAGTAGAATTGTATTTTTATGTAATATACATGATTAACTCTTATCATTGTTGTTTTAAACTTTGCATGCTTTTTTTTTTTTTTTTTTTAGGTTTGGCAATTTGTGGACATAATTGCCTCCTGACAGCAGAATGGATGTCTGCAAGTAAAATAGTATGTCGAGTTGGACAAGCCAAAAATGACAAAGGAGACATAATTGTCACAACTAAGTCTGGTGGCAAAGGAACCTCAACAGTCTCTTTCAAGCTACTCAAGCCTGAAAAAATAGGTATCTACCTTTAGTCATGTTATTCTGAAGGTTAAAATAAAAATGGTTTTCTCTTTTAAAATTTTAGAACTGTTAAATTAGTCTATAATTTACCCACTGTTATTTCTCACTAACTTAGATTTATGTTTATTTTGACAGGAATGGTGTATTGGTTAAAATATCCATTACTTTTGAAAATGCACCTGAGAGTAATTATCCTGACATAACTGTCAGTCATACTAAATTCTTTATAAAATCTGTTCACTTAACATTTTGATATGACAATTGGCAATTCCTTCTTGAGTATATTTCTTCTTGAATTTCTTTTCTCTCTCTGTTATATGATTAAGATTTAAAGTGAAATATGTTCCTGATTCAGCCAAGTTATCAATAATATTACTTAAATAATGTGCTCTTTTTCTTTCATTTTTTCCCCTTTCAGCTCTGAACAAAATGTTGCTTGATCTGGAGGTGCCTTTTGCCCTTCAAACTAAAAATAACTCTTTATTGTATCCCATAGCACATGTTGTTACACTTTTATACACTTAACATCCACCTTTTCATATTAGAGCAGTGGTGGGGAATGTCCATCCACAGGCCATATAAGGCACATGAAATCATTTTGTCTGGCTCTGCCAACGCATCATATATTTGATCTATGAGTTAGTTAAATGTTTGACCAAATATAGCAGACTAATTTTTAAAAAAAATGTATTTATTGATTGATTTTTTTTTTTTTTTTTTTTTTAACAGAAAGGAAGGGAGAGTGATAGAGAGTCAGAAACATCAATGAGAGGGAAACATTGATCAGCTGCCTCTTGCATACTCCCCACTGGGGATGTGCCTGCAACCAAATACATGCCCTTGATTGGAAGCAAACCAAGGACCCTTTAGTCCACAGGCCTACACTCTATCCACTGAGCCAAACTGATCAAGGCAGCAGACTGATTTTTTAAGTTGATAATTTTGTATGGCCTGAAAATGATGTTATAAATGTCCAAATGGCCCTTGACAGTAAAAAGGTTCCCTATCCCTGTATTAGAATAATTAAGAACATAGTCTGAGGAGCCAGATTATGAATATTAATATGATCTTTATATTACTAACTGTGGTACTTTTGATGCTTAGTTCCTATGTGGGTAAAAGTGGATAAATTGTATTATCTACCTTATAGGATTAAATGAGTTAAGAGAGCCTATCAACACAGACAGTAGTGTAGTGAAGGCCTGGGGTGGGGTTAGGTACAGACTAGTAGGGTGTCAGTGCGGGGAAAAAAGGAGACATATGTAATATTGTAAAAAAATAAAGATTAATAAAAGTTATCTGCATCGGATGATCCTATATAATAAAAGCCTAATATGCTAAGTGTCTGGTCCAGTCATCCATTCAACCAATCAAAGCATAATATGCTAATGATATGCTAAGGCTGCTCATCCATTCTCTAGGATGTGCACTGACCACCAGGGGGCAGATTCTCCAACTGGTAGGTCAGCTTGCTCCTAGGGTCTGGATGATCAGGACTAAGTGAGATGGGCTGGACATGTCCTGGAGCCTCCCATGATCCCTCCCCTGCTGGCCAACCTCTCATGTCCCTCCTCTTGATCTTGAACCGGTGGGGCCCCTCAGCCTGGCCTGTGCCCTCTTGTAATCCAAGACCCTTCAGGGATGTCAGAGAGCTAGTTTTGACCTGATCCCACAAGTCAGGCTGAGGGACCCCATTGGTGCACAAATTCGTGCACTGGGCCTCTAGTAAAAAAATAAATGAGTTAAAAGATACATATAAAATGCTTCACATAACCCCGTTATACAAAGAAAGGGTTCAATACATTAATTTTTTTCATTTAAAATTTAAATATTGGGATGGATTTATTTAATTACATTATATAACTTTCAAGTGTATAATTCTATAGTGCATCATGTATATATTGCACACTGTTCTCACCACCTGAAGTCTACTCTCATTTTGTTACCATATATGTGACCTCTTTTATCTTTTACTCTCTTCAACCTCCCTCTCACACCCTTTCTCCTCAGGTAACCATTATACTGTTGTTTGTGTCTATGAATATTGTATTGTTTGTTCATTTGTTGCTTTCTATTTTATCTCCTAAATGTGAATAGTATTCTATTGTCTGTATAAACCACATCATCTATATTCATTCATCCATCAAAGGACACTTAGGTTGTTTTCAAGTATAATGCTATGATGAACATAGGGGTACATATATCTTCATGCATAAATATTGTCAAATTATTAGGGTAGATACCCAGAATAGAGATTGCTGGGTCATATGCTAGCTTTATTCTTAATTTTTTGAGGAACCATTATACTGTTTTTCATAGTGGTGAAAACATGAATAGATCTTGAGAATATCATGCTAAGTGAAATAAATTAGGCAGGAAAAGTAAAAAAATGATACAATTTCATGCATAGGTGGTATATAAAACTGAAAGCAGCAAATGAATAAAAAAGAAAAATGAACAAAACTTATAGACATAGAAAACAGTATGGTGGTTACCAGAAGAAATGGGATTAGGGGGACTGTAAATGGTATAAAGGGTGGTCAAAAAGATGGTGCTGGAATAAGATTTTACTTTGGGCTGTGAGCACACAATGCAATATACAGGTAAGTCATTTATCATAGATTTTTACATTTGTACCTATATAATTTTATCTATCAGTGTCACTACAATAAATTTAATCTTAAATAATCTATACTAATAAAAGGGTAATATGGTAATTATACTGGACGTCTTCTGGATGTCCTACACAAAGCCACTGCAGCAAGGCCAAGGGCCAGTCCAGTGCTGTGGTCCCTTTTGCAGAGGCCATGGGAGAAGGCAGACGGGAAAAGGCAGAAAGGAAAAAGCCGGTGCCATGGGGAAAGGCAGAAGGGAGAAGGTTGGTGCCACAGGAGAAGGGAGAGGTGGCAGTTAGGGGGATCAGGTCAGGAAGGGAGAGCAGTTAGGGGGATCAAGACAGGATGGGAGAACAATTAGGCAGTTAGGGGGATCGGGCCAAGAGGAGAGAGCGGTTAGGCATCAGGCAAGCAGGCAGAGGCAGTTAGGGTTGATCAGGCAGGCAGGTGAGCAGTTAGGAGCTAGTGGTCCCACATTGTGAGAGGGATCCAGATTGGAGAGGGTGCAGGCTGGACTGAGGGACCCCACCCCCTCCATGCACAAATTTTATGCACTGGGCCCCTCATTAAAAAATAATTTCTACCAGCGCTGTATGAGGGTCCCCTTTTCTCCACAACCTCTATAATAGTAGGTATTTCTTGTTTTATTGATAACTAGTGACCTGGTGTACAAGTTCATGTACATTGAAAATAAATTAATTAGAAGAAATACTTTAATATCGCTATTAGCCCTTTCTCTATAATTGAGGTGTCAACCAAATTCACATTCAACAATGATAAATTGAAAAACTCATGTGCAGTTGGCACCAGCAAGAGCGATATATATATCGCGATATATATATATAAATATATATATATATATATATGAATAAACCTGCTGAATTAGACCTGATTTCTGATGTAACTAAACTTTTTCCAGCCCAATGAAGAACCACCACTTGTCTTTCAGGTAATTGTCAGCAACACAGCAGTAAACATAAATACAAAGCAGATTATTATTGTAGACCATCCAGGGAGAACAAAGTGTAAAATAGATAACAGCAGCAGTATTTGACTATATTCTGCACAATGAGAAAACCTAAAGTCATTTTGAAGGTCCACCTTTTCTTTTTTTTTCTTCTTTTTTAAAAAATATATTTTATTGATTTTGTACAGAGAGGAAGGGAGAGAGATAGCAAGTAAGAAACATCAATGAGAGTGAGTCATAGATCAGCTGCCTCTTGCACACCCCCTACTGGGGATGTGCCCACAACCAAGGTATATGCCCTTGACTGGAATCGAACCCGGGACCCTTCAGTCCCCAAGCCGATGCTCTATCCAATGAGCCAAACCGGTTTCGGCTGAAGGTCCACCTTTTCTTCTTTTCAGTGGTGACAAGTGTCTAAGCTTTCTAAATCCCTGTTCCCTGGATAGTGAAAAGAAAATAGGATTCCACCGAGTCTCCAATGTACCTACTCCAGGACTTCTGTGAGGCTCAAATGAGATGAAGCCCCCAAATGGTCTCTCCAACTGCCCTATTCTGCCAACCATCTTGTGGTGGCCATCTTGTGTCCACATGGAGGTGGCCACCTTGTGGGTTGGAGTGATGGTCAATTTGCATATTACCTCTTTATTATATAGGATGGCTTCTTTGTTGAAAATTAGTTGCCTATACATAAGGGTTTATTTTAGGACTCAGTTTTGTTGCATTGATTCATTATTTGTTTTGTTTTGTTTTGCAAATACCATACTGTTTTGATTATTGTAGCTTTGTAGTATCACTTGAAATCAGGCAATGTGATACCTGCAGCTTTGTTCTTTTTTTTCTCAGAATTGCTTTGGCTATTCAGAGTGTTCTGTGGTTCTGTACAAAATTAGGGATTTTTGTTGTTGTTGTTGTTGTTCTACTTCTTTGAATAATGCCATTGGGATTTTGATGGGGATTTCATAAGATTTGTATATTGCTTTATGTAATATGCCTATTTTAACTATGTTAATTCTTTTAATTCATGAACATGGAATATCTTACTATTTCTTTGTGTTCTCTTTAATTTATTTCAACAGTGTCAATTAGTTTTCAGTGTATAGGTCCTTCATATCCTTTATGTTTATTCCTAGATAGTTTATTCTTTTTGTTGCAATTGCTAAATGGAATTTTTTCTATCTTTCCCATGAATTTAATTGTTAGTACAGTATATAGGAATGCAATTAGTTTTTACACTGATTCTGTGTACTGCGACTTTATTGTACTTATTTATTGTTTCTAATAGTTTATAAAGAACTAGAAGCCCAGTGTGTGAAAATTCATGCACTGGAGGGGGGTCCCTCAGCCCAGCCTGATCCCTCTCACAGTGTGGTAGCCTTAAGGAGTGGGAGGTGACCCAGCGATCAGGGGAAGGTGAT